TATCTTTTTGGTGTAAATAATAACCAAATTTAAAATAAGAAGCAATTGATAAGTAACACTAGACCATCTCCATCCCTACCAATTTCTAAATGTGGTCCCTACAACCACATCATCAATTTTAACAATTTCTCTTTAAAGGATTGCAAACCAACTACATCTCTAAACTTTGTTTGCAACTGCTATATATTGTGGGTCCCGACTACTATTTTAAATCCATCAATATTTTTTTTCATTAGAAAGTTACTATTAAGAAAAAGAAAAACATATACACATGTGACATTGCTAAAGAACTTGCTAATTTAGCAATCGGTCTAAATAAGCAATTGCATCTCCATCCTTTGCAATTGCCAATTGCAATGCCATCTAGGCTTTGACAATTGCTAAGATTGGTTTAGCATGCCAATGGAGATGCTCAAGGTCTTACTTCAAATGCCATTGAACTATTTTTACTTTGGATTTATGTGCGGGAGAATAAAATTGTATGTGTGATTTTTTATTTTTATTTTTTAGTTTGTCATGCCATTTTGTTGTAGTGGGTATCTAACAGTTTGTTGTAAACCAAGAATATTAACGAACTTCTTGGATTTGAGTTTTATTACATGCCTCAGAATTTACAACCACTCTTTCAAGTCCTTTGACTTCCAGTGTAATCCCATATCTATGTTTTGCTTAAGAGCGGTAGGTGTCATCAGTCTCGATAATAGCCTTCTGATCTTCTGATCTTACAGTAATGGAAGATATCATCCTTCAAACCAACAGAATTCGAATTTATATTCGCCTTCCTATTATCATCAGATTGTTGTCTCCTACTACTCGTAGCAGCCAACCCATATGCCTGATTTTCAAACCTTGAACAATGTTAGACATATTCCAGAGATGACTAAGAATCTTATATCTTTGAGTCTACTCGACAGCAAGGGTTTCAGTTTCAAAGGTGAAGGTGGAGTAATGTCTGTCTACAAAGGTTCTAAGATGATTTTGAAAGGTGTCAAGCGGGGTGCCTTGTATAGTCTACAAGGTTCTGTTTTGACCTGTTTTGTTGGTGATAAGTGCACCAAGTTGGTTCTGAATGGAAAGTCTCAATATGGATTGGACTTGTCAAATGGTTTGAGTTGTTGACCGCCCTTATGGGCATTTGGAGGCAGGGCAGATTCTGGTACAGCTGATTTGGAGGAGTTGGGTACATCTGGCAACTTTGGTTCCATCTGGTACATCTGGCAACTTTGGTTGCGTCTGGTACATCTGGTATTTGAGAGAGAATTCAAGTCAAGGTGGAGATTGTTAGAAGATGACTTGAATTTGATTTGGGTTTGTTTTGTGTTCTGGGCCTATTTTGTATGGGTTTGTGTTTGGGCTTTGTTTGACCTTTTCCTTGTATGTTTGGGAAAAGGTGTTTGATTTTCTGTTTGGGATTAGGAGAAGAGTTCTATAAATACTCTTCATCACCCTAGTATGTAGTAAGGTCAGTCAGGTTAGTTTGTTTGGTTTGCCCATTTCGGAATTTGGTTTGTAACCTGTACTCTCCTTAAATTAGTGAAATTTGTACCCCCTGCCCGTGGATTAGCTAGCACACATTGTGTTAGTGAACCACGTTAAATTTGTGTTCGTTCGTGTTGATTTGGATTATCGATTGCACGCTTTTGTTTTGAAAAAATTTGTGAATTTTCCTCATATTCGAGGCATGAGAGTGATACGAAATTGTTTTCCTCTTTCCGGGCGGAACATTAATCTTCATCATCTTGCTTTTTCTGGAATCAGCAGTTTCATTGTGCGAAAGTGGGTTTTTGCATGTCCCACCTTCTTAAAGATTATGTGGTACAGGTTGTTGCCGAAATTTTGTTATTGTTGGTTCTATCAATTGTTTTCTCAAAAATTTGATTTTCCTCTTAACGAAGCAAGTGAACATAGAGAAAACTTGGTCACAATCGTCATATTGTAAATGTTGGGTCATTAATGCCAGTTTCTATAGAATACGTGATTTGTAGTGGTATTAGCCCCTTTTTATTAGTGAAGGCTATTTACCACAACGTTTTCCCTATTTGTCACCAACTGTTTTTTTTATCATAATCAATTATTTCCAACATAATTTATAATTATTTCTGATAATCACTCTCCATGTAATTATTGATAGAGATACAGGCAAAAAATATGAATAACGTCAACCTAGTCAACTGAAGAAAAAGGTATGTCGAAACTGAATTCCTATTTAACGCCCTAACTTTTTAAAATATAACGCCCTAATCTTACTGTACAGACAAATTTGTCCCCAACTTATTCTAATCCCTAATCAATGTTCCGCCCTAATCCGCCCCGCCGGCCACCTCTGATGCCGCGACGCCGCCGCCACTTCTGGTTCTGCACCGCCCAATGTCGCTGCCGCCTGCCGCCACCTCTATGTCACGTCTGACGAAGTTGGGACGGGCTCCGTCTGAAAAGGGGAGAAGAGGTGAAGCGACCTATCCGGCAGCGAGAGAAGTGGGTTGACCATCCGTCCGGCAGCGAGAGAAGTGGGACAGAAAGTCTCCTCCTGTTGTTTCCACCGCTGAAGCTACCAAACCGGAGGAGGAGGAAGCAGAAAGAAGCTGCCGACCACCTGCTAATTCTGGGTTTTGTCACCGCCCGCCGCCGCGCACCTCTGCCGCTCCCGAGATGGAGGAAGAAGAAGGATGCTCGTCGATGTTGATGGTGGAGGCCAGTCCCGCGCCCCGTCGCTCTCTTGATGTTGGGTTTGCTCCGCCGCTGCCCACATATGCTGCTACCGAGCTCGGCAGAGGAATAAGAAGGTAATCGTCGTTGAGGAGGAAGGAGGAGCAGGGCGGTTGTCGACAAGGGTATAAGTGTATTTTCATGATGGTTTAGGGCGATTTTTTTTAAATTTTAGGGCGATAAATATTAACTCCCATGTCGAAATGTATCTAGGCAAAAAATATTGGCGGCCAAAACCTGGCAGGCGAAGAAAAAGGGTGGTCCAAATTTGGCTAGGACATGATTGGGCCGGGCTTTCACTAACCAGAGCAGGTACCAACTGAACATATTTTTTGGTTCAATGAGTTTCCACAATTATTATTATTATTATTATTTTAAAAATTTACATCTAAAAAACGTTTGAACAATATTCTTCTCTTTCTTTCGGTGATTCTAGTGCACTATTCGGTGGCATATAGTTTCATTTTTATTGAAAATTATTCTTAATAATTAATCATCTTTAACTGATTGATTAATTAATTGCTTCCAATCGTGATGAAAATTTGTAAAACCTTTCGAAATTGTCAAATTGAATTGGGAGTTTCGAACGAGTTTTTTGTTTTACGGGTGTTCGGTTTTTCATTTTCTGATAATTAAGGAGTTCGACATATATATTGAGAAAATTATTTGTGAAAGCAGGTTTTAAATAAAAATTAAACTTAAATAATTTGGAGGCAAATAATAAAAACGTTGGTAAAAATTATCGTTTTATGTACAGCCACATCCACTTAATTGTGAAGTTTATACTCGAATATGGCCTAAGTGATTCTAGTAAACTTTAAGTGATAATGAGCAACGGTAAAACACTAAGTGGATTTTTTTTTTTTTACTAATAGTAACTATTAGAACTAGATGTTTGGTATTTGCATTTGATACTAAAATGTCGATACCATACCGATTTTCATCCGTTACTAGTACGACAACATAAATTTATAGTGATAAAGTGAAAGAAATTGGTAAATCCACTCACCGATTGTCCATGAATAGTTGGGGAAATTCGGAAAGTGAAAGGAATTAGAAAAGTGGTGACCATTTTATAGCTCTCCAAAATTTAAGTGACCCGTTTCGAAAATTAGCTGACAGCATGCTACGTACCGCTGGACAAAAGGCGGGCACGCGATTTCTCTCCCCTCTCTCTCACTCTCAGTCCTCTCAGTCGTTTCTTGTTTCTTCTTCCCCAAGAAGACGAAGAGCTTGAGAAATTCGGAAATCCAATGGGCGGCCTCTGCGCGGGACAGCGAGCTAGGGTTAGGCGAGGTGATGATTGCCTTCTCTTCTCTGTTGCTTAGATGGTTACAACTAGCTAGCTAGCTAGATCGTCGTCTCTATCTCACAGCGTTGCATTTTGTTTCTTGTTCAGATTTTCTGGAGTTCACTCCCCCGACGGGAGACATGACCGCTTTCCAGCCAGGGGAGCTCCAACAAATCATCGGCCAACGGAATCAACTCGGCGACGGAGGGTGCGGCACCGTCTTTGGTGGAGCTCTGCCAGAACACGGCGAGGCAAGCTTTTCTTTCCCGTGTTTCTTGGCCGTTAGCTACTGTTTTGGTTGAATGCTTGGATTGAATGCAAATTAGATCTAGCTAGGGTCTCCGCCCTTTGTGTCCGCTAGCTAGTGTGCTGTGTGGTGTTTTCTGTTTGCTTGGAATCATCTCCGGCGGGCGAACTCCCAATTCTTCCGGTTTGCTGTTTGTTTGGAATGATCGAACTCCCAATTCCTTGGGGTTGCCTTGCCTGCCTCTTTCCATAATTGCATCTCGATCATCTTGATCTTGAGGTTGCTGTCAAACCTGTAGTGTGCTGTACGTGTGTGGTGTTTGCTTTCGGTTTATTTGGGAATTACCTCCGCGATCGAACTCCCAATAATCCTTTCCTTGGGGTTTCCCTGCCTCTTTTCATAACTGCATCTCGTCTCGATCTTTAGGTTGCTGTCAAAGTCATCAATGAGAATGGGCCACAAGGAATAGAAGAGCTCGAAAACGAGTTAAACATTTTGTACTCTGTTAGGCACACTAGTGTCATTCGACCTGTTGGATTCTGCATGGCGAGGGGCTTGGACTCGATCGTATTCCCTCGGATGAGCTCTGGAAGTTTGGAGAAACACCTCCATGGTTAGTAATAGTATACTTGGATTGGATGGTTAGCTTTCTTGTCGCCCTTTTTTTGTTTTTCTCTGTAGTTGTAGTTGGAGACTCTAGCTAACTGGTGGTGGTTTGTGTCACATGCATCCATTCCAGATGTCAACAATGGACAGTTACTGGAATGGAATGTTAGACCAGATATTGCATGTGAGGTGATCCAGGGATTGAGTTACTTACAGGACAACGATATAGTGCATCGAGACATCAAGTCGTCCAACGTACTTCTAGATGAGGAGTTCCACGCAAAACTTTCGGATTTCGGATTTGCAATGGTGATACGGCCGGGCAACCCTCCTCAATTGAGAATGCGGGAGGGGACGATAGGGTACTGTCCCCCCGAGACAGATGTCGGTTTCAAAACTGACGTATACAGCTTCGGGGTACTTCTGTTGGAGCTCGTCACTGGACAAACAGCTTATGAGGTGAACAGAGCCCCAGGACGCGAGTTAGCCAAATGGGTATGCGCGCATTTAGAAAGTCAAAGCAGTAGCGAAGCGAGCCTTTAGGAAGGATTAGCTAGCTAGCTAGCTAGCTCTCATTTTAGGCTTTAATTAACTAATTAAATTAAATGCATGTTTTTGTGCTTTGCTGAATGCAGGCTGAACCAGTGATAAATGCGGCTATGAACAATAACGACTTCACTAGGGTGGTTGATGGCAGACTACAAGGAAGGGCTAACATGGATGGGGTGAGAAGAGCTTGTGTTATCGCTCGGCTATGTACTGACGATGATGTGAATACGCGCTACAGTTTACCAGAAACGTTGTCTGCTGTGCTGACATTAAGGGCAGATTTCAGGTTTGAACAAGGGCCGCCTGTTTGATGTACGTACGTGTAAGTACTCTTTGATTGAGACTGGTTCCAAGATAAGACAAGTACTGCAATAATATATGGCTTGACTGTGCTCATTTGGCTTGGTTTGTTTAATTAATTAATTAATTATTCCAGTACAGTTTGTTTGACTGCTCTCATTGATTGTGCAGGGATCCATCCATTACATTACATTCAGTGACATCGAGTGCGTGGCAGTGGGAATTGTTGGTGCAGGATTCTTAGTGCAGATGCAAGGTGCATGGAAACATATATAGTGAACAAGTGTAGGAAGTTTATCAGAGTGTAATCAAGTCTATTTTGCTTCCAAGACTTGTTAGTATTAGTAGTGTTGGACCTGCACTCTCTATCTTGTTGAGCAACAGAACAGAATCAAGAGTTATGAATTTGTGCTTGTTTTGTGACACAGGTGCTACTTTGGATTTTATAACCTGATGATTGGATTAAGATTTCAGTGGCTTGAGTTAAAGTCGCTGTTTGATGATCTTTGATTTGTTTGACAACTATTATGGAATTGTATTTGTAGGAGCTAGCCTAGAATATAAATTTGCCTATATAGGTTTAGAGACGGTTGGAAACCGTCCCTAAATGTATTGCCACCGATGCTGAGGTTCCTTTTGGCGATTTGTTTTATTGTGATGGCCATATGTTTCTTTGGCACTGGCAGGACAACAATCCATCTATAAGAAAAAGGCAACAAGATGAATGTTTGCTATCACAAGGCCAAGGTACTACTAGTGTAATATGTAATACTACACCTCATATCCTCAAGGTTTTATGGTAATTTAAAGTAGCAACGATCCGACTTGCTGGAGTATGTTACAAACTTTGTATCAAGAACAATTTTTGGACGGTGCCTCCCAATTTGCTGGAAAAGGGGATCACTTAAAACAGTTGACAGGACTCGTTTGTTTTGACTTCTTATGTTTTAGTTTGTCTTTTCTTCTCCACTCCTTCCAACATTTCCCTATCTCTCTTTTTATCTCACTACAACAAAAACTAGCTTTTGCAACCAAAATTTTTACAACCAAACTAAAATTGATTGTGAAAAGAGTAGTATATACAACCAATTACATTTTGGTAGCTAAAATATTAAAAATTTGGTTGTCTATTAAAGTCAAAGTATTGATAACCAAATAAAATTTGAAACGACCAAATAATTTGGTAGCAAAATAATTTTTACTTTCTCCAACCAAATAATTTTGGTAGCAAAATAATTTTTACTTTTTTCAACCAAATAATTTGGTAGCATATCGATTTTTACTTTCTCCAACCAAATATTATTGGTTATGAATTTTAGCAAGAAATTTGAAAATCTTAGGTAACTAAATAATTTGGTTGCAAATCCAATAAAAAACCTCAGCAACTAAATCATTTGGTTGTCAATTTGTCATATAGATACTATATATGATATTATTAAAATTTAGTGGCTGTAATAGTAATTATGAAAAACAATTTTTGTCTTTCATTAGCTGCCCTTCAAGTGGTCGGGTCGAGACGAGGTTTTCGACTTGTCTTTCATTCAAATTCCTGTTGTTTCTGCTTTAACCTAGAAAGAGAATATCTGTCTAGGTTGATAGAGCACCCTTGATTGAAGGTAGGGAGTTGGTGACTTTAGTCGACGAACCAATTCACTATTCTGTACCAAATTCATTTCGGTAGTGGAGGTTTTGTTCATTAGGGCCTCAATCTGTTTACTCCGGTGGAGGTTAGTCTCCCGCTGGAGACTCAGATTGAGAGGGTCTGGAGACCTTTAGTCGAGACTTCAGGCTGTTTAAGAATCTCCCGCAGTATAACTATCATTGAAACTGAACTTGGTAAATTGCAATCCGGCTTAACTACAGTCTAGGGGGAACCATATTCGGGTGACCTCTCTCGACTTGAAAACAACCGTTTATTTGTTTGCTTGTTTGCTTAATTGAACCTGCACTAAAGTTTCACTGCTAGATAATAAGAATTCACTGAGTAGTCATCACATCTAGGACCCGGGTTGACATTAAAACCCAAACCCGCTATACTACGCTTTAGGAAGTGGTTACACTTGGCCATTTTCTAGAGTGACGGTAGGAGTGAGTCAAGTTTTGGCGCCGTTGCCGGGGACGGCTAGGTTGTTGAAGAAACGTGAATTTTGTTACTTTAGCATTTTCATTTTCGCATTGACTGTTTGTTCTTTCCCACTTGTGCCTTCACGGGTTTGCATTGCTTGACTGTGTGCAGATAGTGCATGACCCGTAGCTAGTCGGGAGGTTTAATGCCGTTGGATCCGGAGCTTGAACGCACCTGTCGCCAACTTAGGAGACAACAGTGAGCTAGACTGGCTACGGAGGAGCGCATAGACGGCCACTTGAGCAGCGATTCTGAGGAAGAGTACGAGATGGAAGGCCAACACAACCCACCCCAGGGGAATCCTCTCCAGGTTCCCCCGGTGAATCAGATCTTGGGGAACAAATCCATACCCCAGGCAGATGGGGTTCATCATCATCCACCGCCGCCGGGTCCCACCTTGAAGTACTACTACACTCCACGGGTTGCTGATATCCGCCCTGTCATCCTCTACCCGTCTATTCCAGCGAACAACTTCGAGATCAAGCCATGCTGGATTCAACTCATTACATCCTCTGTCCAGTTTCATGGCTTGAAGGATGAAGAGGCAAGGGTGCACATGTCCCGTTTCCTGCAGTTGACGAACGGGTTTAAGCTGAACGGTGTCCCCGATGATGCAATCCGCCTTCACCTCTTCCCCCATTCTCTGATGGGGCATGCTAAGAGGTGGTTGGAGACCCAGCCCCCATTGCCCATCACCTCTTGGGACGATCTGGCCGACAAGTTCGAACACAGGTACTATCCGGCATTAAAGACCACCGAGATCAAGCGGGAGATCACTCACTTCCGCCAAGAGCCAGATGAGTCACTTCGTGATGCATGGGAGCGGTACATGGGATTTTTCTGGCAGTGTCCCCATCATGGTTTCAGTGATGCATTCAAAGTGGGAAACTTCTACAGTGCTCTCTCTCCGGAAAGCCAGAGGGTGATTGAGTCTCTATGCCTAGGAGGGGACATTCTTACTAAGACTCCACCCGAACTGAACCAGATGATCGGTACATTGGCTGCCAGAGATCATTCCTGGGGCAGAGCACCAGAAGCAGGAATTCCCGAGACCGTGGTGTGCACGCCATGGAGGCTAGGTCCGGGCTTGAGCAGCAGGTGGCTGAATTAGTACAGACATTGAAGCAGCCCAACATTCTTATTCCGGGCAGAGGTACGGCTGTACCTCCAGTAGCTCAATGTCAGTGTTGTGAGAGCCCGAATCATCTGGTGGAAGACTGCCAGGCTATGCGGGAGTCTTCTACTCCCCAAGAGCAGTTGGACTTCATCGCCAATGCTCGGCGCTTTGATCCATACAGCAATACATATAATGAGGGGTGGCGCCAGCATCCCAACTTTGCTTGGAACAGCAACCCCACTAAACCACCTGGTTTCCCAGCACCAGCAGGTGGTTTTCAGCAGAGGCATCCTTTCCAGGCTAGGCAGGGGCCACCACCACAGCAGCAACCCTACCAGCCTAGGCAGGGGCAGCCATTCAAGCATCCCCAACGTTAGTATGCCCAGCCTCCAGCAGCTGCAGCTCCAGATAATCAGATGACGGAGCTGAAAAATATTTTGCAGGCATTCATGACCACCAGCCAGGCGAATTTCACGAGGATGGATCAGAACATAGCCTCACTGGAGGCAGGCCAGAAAAACCAAGGTGCCATTTTGCAAGATCTACAGAATCAGATTGGGGGCATAGCTCGCCAAAACACTACCAGGGCACCGGGGACTCTGCCTGCCACCACTGTTCCAAACCCTCGTGAGCCTCACCAGCAGCTGGATGCCATCACTACCAGGAGTGGCAAGACCATATCTGCTGCTCCTGCCCAGCCCAGGCAAGACGAGCCACTACCTGCTTCAACACTTCCAGCTGATAATGTAGAAGTGGGGGGGAGACAAAGAAGCACCTGCTCCCAAGCCACAGCCAGTGGTTAAGGAGCATGTGACCCAGCTTCCTTTCCCCACTGGCCTACATAAAGACAAGCTGGAGACTGAGTTTTCCAAGTTCATGGCAATGTTGAAGCAGGTCAACATCAGCATGCCGTTCGTGGAGGCACTGTCGAAGATGCCCAAGTATGCCAAGTTCATGAAGGACCTCCTCACCAACAAGAAGAAACTAGGGGATCTTTCGACAGTGATGCTGAGCGAGGAGTGTTCTGCTATCCTGTAGAACAAAATGCCCGAGAAGCGTAAAGACCCAGGGAGTTTCACTATCCCTCTTGTTATTGGCAGCATGCATGTAGGAAAGTCCTTGGCGGACCTAGGCGCTAGCATAAATGTCATGCCCTAGAAATTGTTTAAAAAGCTAGACCTAGGTGAACCTAGAGCTACTAGGATGAGCATTCAGTTAGCTGATCGTTCTATCGTGCATCCTAGGGGTATCATTGAGGATCTGCTTGTTAATGTAGGCGCATTCACATATCCTGTTGATTTTGTTATTCTGGATATAAATGAGGATGTGGATGTACCTTTGATTTTGGGTAGACCGTTTCTCGCCCTTGCCAAGGAACTTATTGATGTGCATTAGTGGTAAATTAATCCTGCGTGCTGGTGATGAACATGCTACTTTTTCTGTGTCTGAGAA